GCCACGTCGTTCATGCGGAAGAGCGCCATCATGAGGCTGCTTTTCCCGGCCCCCGTGCGGCCAACGATACCAATCTTCTCGCCACCAGCAATAGCAAACGAGACGTTCTTGAGCACGAGCGGGTCGTTAGGCTTGTAGCGAAAGCTGACGTCGTCAAACGTGATGGCACCTGTCGTGGGCCAGTGCGGTGCCAACAACGCACTCGACGTGCGCTCGCCTTCCTTGGGGATGTTGATGTACTCATGGATGCGCTCGGGCGAGATCATGGACGTCTCGAGCTGCGACCAAATGTTGACGAGGTACGCAAGGTTGCCCGGAATCGAGAGACCGTACGTGATCAAGAGGCCGACAATACCCGGGCTCAGCGACTCGTGCAGGAAGACTATCGAGAGCAGAATGAGCGCCACGATCGTGTTGGAGATGAGCTGGATGCGGATCGAAAACCACTGGTTGATGCAGCTGTACGCAAACCGGCACTCGCAGAACGTCTCAATCTTGCGGTGATGGAGCCGGTAGAAGCGGCGGAGCTGCTTGTCGCCAAACGCGCGAATCGTTGTCGAGCCGTCAATGCCCTCCGAGACCAAACTAATGAGCGGCGACCGCGTCGTCTTCCAAATCCGGTTGACTTCGCGAAGCGGCTCCAAGAAGAACGCGCCATACTTGTAGTAGACAACAAGCAGCGGGAGCACGAGGAGGCCAAGCCACTGCGTAATGATGAGCGTCGTTCCGAGCGTAAACATCGCCGACGACACCTCAAACAAGATCGGGCCGAGCGAGAACGGAATGCCCATGTCGCAGGACCCGACGTCGTCGCCAAACCGGTTGAGAATCCGCCCGATCGGGTTGGTGTCGAAGAAGCGCATGGGGGCTTCGAGGAGACTCGAGAGCATCGCATCAAAGAGCTTCTGAGAGCCGCGCAGGCCGTAGACAAAGACGGACGCGGTCTGGAGCGTGATCATCGCGCAGCTGCCGAGCGCGAGGCCCGCATAGATACCCATGCCGAGCTCCGACGAGGCAGCAAAGGTCGCTGCGTCTTCGCCCTCGCTCTCGTTGGACCAGCGCGTGAGCCAAAGGTCGCTGCCGACCTTGAGCACTTGCATCGCGATCGTTGTGAATGCAATCACCACAAACGTGCAGCAGCCGCCCATGGCACCGAGATACGCGACCACGACTTCCTTGGAAACACGCCCTTCGGCGCGCTCCTCGTCGGCGATGAGACGGCCCGACTCTTCAAACGACTGGCCCGCGACCGGCTCGCGCGGCGTGTACAGCATCTCGCGCGCGTTGTAGCTGTACGGCGTGCGCAGCGACGGCGTCACCAGCATCTCATGGCGCGGCCCCGGCGCCGGGTACTCGACGACCTCCGACTCTTCCCAGTACGGCGTGCGGGCCTTGAGCGGCGTCACCGCCGGCGTCGCTTCTTGACGTGTGCGCGGTGAGTCGTGCGTCGACTCGATGAGCTGACCGTCTTGCACAAGCAGCGTCCTCGCGACCGCCGACGACTCGATGATCTCGGGGTTGTGCGTCACGAGCAGCACCGTCTTCTTGGCCAAGAGGCCGAGGAAACACTTGGTAAAGATCTCGCTGGCCACGATCGCGTCGACAGCCGACAAGGGCGAGTCCAAAATGAAGATGTCGGCGTCGCTGTAGCACGCGCGGGCGAGGGCGATGCGCGCTTTCTGCCCGCCGCTGAGGTTGATGCCCTTCTGGCCAATCTCGGTGCGGTCGCTGGCCGGCAACGAGGCGAGATCGCTCTGCAGCGCACACGCGTCGAGGACTTTCGCGTACTTGGTGCGGTCGTACGGCTGGCCAAAGAGGATGTTTTCGCGGATCGTGGTGTTTTGGATCCACGCCTGCTGCGCAAGGTAGGCCACTTGGCCGCCGACAAAGACCGAGCCGGAGAGCTTTTGCATCTCGCCGAGGAGCGCCGAGCAGAGCGACGACTTGCCTTGGCCGACCGCGCCATGCAGCACGACGAGCTCGCCGCGCGTGACGCGGAGGTTGACGTTGGTGAAGGTGGGCGTCGCGGTCGTGTCCCACGTGAACGAGGCATTGTCGATGGCGAGGACGACCTGGTCCTTGGCGTAGACGGCGGCGATCGGGTCGGACGGCGTCGAGACGTTGGCCGGGTCCACTTCGTCCATCAAGAGCACGTCGTTGATGCGCTTGGCCGAGACAAGCGACTGGACCATGGCCATGATGACAATCGGAAGGTTCACAAGGGCGTCTTGGAGCGACTTGAAGAGCGCCAGCGTCGAAAAGACGATCGTGACGGTCAATGCTTGCTTCATCCAGAGCGTAAACGTTGCAAAGACGACGACGGTGACGAGCACGGGGGTGCAGTTCATGAACGAAATGAGGACGATGACGATGCGGAAGAAGCGCGCAATGGAGCCGAGCTCGATCTCACGCAGCTGGCGGATCTTGGCCTGGAACTTTCTTCCCACGCGTTGAACTTGATGATCTGGATCGCGCCAAAGACCTCGTTGACGACCTTCATGCGGTCGTCCTTGAGCTTGAAGAGGCGCTCTTCCTCGCTGCCGAGCATGATGGCCAGCACGGCGTTGATGACCAGAATGACCGCGACAACGCCGAGACCGACAAAGATCGACCAGCCAATGATCTTGTAGAGAAGGTACAGCACAAAGCCGACCTGGCACGGCACGATCCAGATCTGGTGGATGCTCAGTGCAAAGCTCATGACGTTGATGACATCGATCGAGAAGAGGTTGGCAATATCACCCGCCGTCTTCTCCTTCTTGGAAGATGCGTTGAGCAGCAGCGCCTTCTCAAAGAGCATCGAGCGGAGCGACGACGAGAACTGGATGCCAATGACGTCGTTCATGTAGTTCATGTGCGACTTGACAAAGGCATTGACGAGCTGGCTGACGTACAGCGATCCGATGAGCTGGAGGACATACGTCGTGTCGAGGACCGGCGCTTCGACGGCGCGAATGATCTCGCCGAGAACGTAGCCGGGGCCATACAAGTCGGCGAGCACGGTGAAGAGCTGCATGAAGCCGAGGACGATGAAGCGGCCCCAGTAGATCGCAAAGAAGGACGTCAGAATGCCCTTGTTGTGGTGCTCGTACACGACCTTGAACTCGCCGGCGAGGCGGCCGACGCGGTTGACCTCTTGGAGCGGCCACATGTCCTCAGGCGCCAATTGGCGCGTGTTGCCGACGCGAAGGAAGGGCTGGACCCAGTCGAACGAGAGCCACGTAAAAACGTTGGAGGTGTCTTGCGGGTGCGGTGCGGCGGCCTTGGCCGGCGCGTCGAACGTCCGGTACTGCGGCACGTTCTTGTCGCTCTTGAGCATGGCAAATGCGAAAGTGACCTCGAGCTTCTGGCCGCGGATTCAAGAATCCGGTTTGTTCCTGAGTGCAAACGTCCTTTCCTGCTCCAATCGAGTTTTAAAGGTCTTAGAAAGGGCAATCTGACCGAATGCAATACAAATGCAGAATGATTTCGATGCACACCGGAAATGCAAATCTATGTGGTTTCGAGAATATGATATATGAGAGGTTTACCTTCATTCCGTGCTGATCGATGGGCATCATGTTTACCTTGTGCTACCGGTTGCATCCATTCCGACTACTCCTTGGCAGTATCGCCACGTTGTTAAACCAGACTCCTCTGCACAATCAGCAGCAAGGTACCGTAGCACGTGCCAGAACGTACGGCGCAGCCCGCCACCATCGGCGCATTCCAGCAAAGTGCCCATGGGATCATGTCCACCACCCGATGGTTCGTTCGTTTCCACGGGTGTCCTTGCGAGCTGCATTCTACGCATAGTGTTGATCCTTGCCAACGTCGCAACGTCTTCGTCGCTCTGCAATGTACCAAGGTGGTCATGTTGCTGCGAACCCAACTGGTGATCACACGACTCATCGCCAAATTGCAACGCTTACTAATTGCGGTTGCCGGCGGTTGACTAACCGTTGAAAGACGCACCTTTTTCACGGTGGGTGCGCTTTTACTCCTACATGTTTTCCACCAGTGTTTTTCACGAGTCGTGGGAAATCGGCAGCCGTGGGAATTGCATTTGCCACCGCCATTCGCACGTCGACCAACCGATACTCGGAGCAGGAGGATGATGGACGACGACGCAAGCTTCGTGGGCTACAACACGTGGGCGGTCGAGGCGCTGGACGTCGCGCTCAACGCAGACCTTGTCTATGAGGAGTCGTCGGGCGGCGATCGCGGCGTCTTTGTCTCGGAGGCCATCAAGGCCCACACGGCGATCCTCTCGATTCCGTTTGAGAGCCTGCTCAATCTGTACAGCATCGCCGCCTCGCCGCTGGCCGAGATCCCGCACTTGCACGAGCGCGAAGACGACTGCCTCGCGTGGTTCCTCCTCTACGAGACGCACCTCAACAAGGCGAGCAAGTGGGCGCGCCACATCGCCGTGCTGCCGCGCACCTTCCACAACATCTTGTACCTCTCGGACGCCGACATTGAGCGCCTCGAGGGCAGCAACGTGTACTACGTCGCGCGCCACTTGCAGTCGCAGGTCGCGGCCGACTTTGACGAGCTCACGACCACGATCTTGCCCGAGACGCTCCGCGCGCTGGCGGCCGACCATCCCGCCGACGCCATCCTCTCGGCCTTTACGCTCGAGGTATGTGCACTTGGATGCGGTATGTTCCGATGACTCATTTTCCTGTGCGTAGAACTACAAGTGGGCGCTCTCGGTGATCTGGAGTCGGTTCGTCTCGGTGGCCACGTCGACCGACTCGATGGTCAAGTGCATGGTGCCGGTCTTTGACATGTTCAACCACGACCCGAGTGCGCAGATGGCGCATGGCTTTGACCCGCGCACCAACTCGTTTGTGCTGCAGTCGCACCAGTACTGGGCGCCGGGAGCCCAAGTCTTTATCAATTATGGCGCCCTCCCCAACCACAAGCTCTTGACACTCTACGGGTTTGTGCTCGAGAAGAACGCGTACGATACCGTCGAGCTCTGGGCGCCCATGAGCCACGACGCGCCGTACTATGACCGCAAGATGGCGTTCATCACCGCCCACGGGCTGGCGCACCACGCGCGCGTCCCGTTTGACTTGACGACGCTCGGCGTCAACGAAGAGCTCCTCGCGTATCTGCGCATCCAGCGCATGGAGGTCGACGAGCTCTCGTCGTTTGAGGGATCTACGTTTGCGTACAAGGCGCTGAGCAACGAGAACGAAAAGAGCACGCTCACGGCGCTCATTTTCGCGCTCCAGTCGATGCGCGACCGGTTTCCCACGAGCATCGAGGACGACGATGCGCTCTTGAAGACGCTCTCGGAAGCCGACGCGCACACGCGCATGGTGGTGCTCCTCCGCCGCTCCGACAAGGCGATTTTGACGCAACACATCGACTGGCTCCAGGAAAAGTTAATACCCGTGCTCGCCGACATGACGGCAAACGCCCAAGACTAGCTAGGCCTTTGGCACGCGGTAGACCTTGATAACGCGGGACGTTGTGCCTTGCACGAGCAACTCGGCGCCCGCCGCGTCAAATTGAATGCGTGAGATCGCGTCTACGACCGTGTGATGAACCCTCGTCTCGCCTACTCCATGTCGTCGTACCGTCTTGCGCATGCGGCACTTCGTGGCGGATGGTCATGGTCGCCACGTCGAGGAAGAAGAGCGTACTGCCCTGCGTCATGGCGATCCACTGGGCACAAGAAGAGTTGGGATGATGAGGACGACACGAGACGACGCTACCTCTCCGTTGGGCGTGATGTCCACGGTCGAGTAGTGCCCGCTCGGCGCCTGGAACGTCTTGATGCACTTGGGGTCTTCCTCGAGCTTGTAGCGCACTGTGGAGATACATCGCATCAATCGGTCTCCAATAGTCCTAGAACCGACCGTTGATGTCCCAGATGCGGACGGTGCCATCCTTGGACGCCGTCACGATGCGGTTGACAGGCTTTTGGTCCGAGCCGTCAAAGGCAATGTCCGTCACACCGCTCTACTCGGTCGGAACACCATGTTGTCGAGGCTCCGGAGTGCAAGAGGGTGATACCGTGTGGCCTTGGAGAGCCATGGCCTTGTGGAGCTTCACGAACGCACCCGTCTTGGAGCGCTGGATCTCGTAAATCTAGCATTGCAACCGTATCAGATATGATCTGGTGTGTCATCAAAGCAATCCAGGTGGCTGGCATACCTTGACCTCGGGCGTGTACGCGGCGACGGCAATGAACCGGTTGTCGAGCGACTGGACGCCGTGGAAGTTTTGGATCTGGTTGACACTGGTCGTCTGGAGCAGCGTGCCCGACGTGTTCCAGCACTTGATGTCAGTGTCGTCGTCACGACCGACCGTGAGCAGCGTCATCCACTCGTCACCAATGTCGTTGAGGAGCAGCGAAAGCACGTTGTGGCCGACGGGAAACGAACCGACGACCTCGGGCTTGGTCTTAAACTTGCTGTAGAGCAGGACGTTTTGGCCGTCGGCGGTCGCGACCCCGAGCGTCTTGCCGTCCGAGCTAAAGCTGCAGACCGTCGAGTAGTCGTACGGGAGGTTGATCGTCTTGAACGTAGGGTTCTTGGCACCCAACGACTCGCGCAGCGTCAAGCGTACCGATCGGTCGGTCGACGCGGTCGCAATGAAGCGGCCGTTGGGGCTAAACGTCGCCGCTGTGATCGGACCCGTGTGGCCCTTGAGGACATGCGCGAGGAGCGCATGGTCGGCGTGCTTGGCGCTAGGCGCGGCCACAGTCGGCGTCTTGCCTTGGGGCTTTGTCGCGGGCTTTTTGGCTTTCTCTGGAAGCTTCTCCTTTGGCTTCTCCTTGACGACAGCGTCTTCCTTCTTTAGCTTCTTTGGCGCTTGGCCCACGACGAGGTAGCCCACGTAGGCCAAGGCGGCCAGCAGCAGAAGCGGCAGCAGCAGATCCAGCATCGGTCACCGCACGTCCGAGGTTGCCTTTCTAGATTATCCGGCGAATCCGGATAAGGAGGGGCCGCTTCCATGGCGCCGACAACTCAACTGCTTCGTCGCCCCCAGCTCAGGCATCCAAGCAGCTGTCGGCAAAGATAACACGACACAATCTGCAATCTGCAAATTCGTCAAAGTACCGTCCTCCACCATTGGTCCTCCACTACGGTAATACAATTGTAGAGTGTCACAACTCAAGGGACTATGATGCTGGTGCATGTGGCCCAACCTTGCGAAATAGTTTAAAGTGGCTGGCTGTATCTGTCCAAAGCCGCCCGTATTAACACAGCCAGAGAGAGTAAGTGATGTGCTGATCAACCGCCAACAATCGAAGCCACTCGTATCCGGTCATCCAGATGACAAATTACGGGAAAATGCGAGTCGTATGCCATTTTCACCTTCAAATGCCACGAACGCGAACATGATTGCAGGGCGTCCCACGCAGTACGGACCCGATGAATAAAAGCACAATAATCTCGATCTACCCACAGCTTTCAGGTACACTGCAAGATACAGTACATCTGCGCATACGACAGGAATTTAGCCTCGTACATATATGCTAGCACGGTAAATTGCAGCGACAGAGGCGTTCATCCTCGGTACCACAGCCTTTCAAGATCTATCGCACGCACCGAAAGCATTATTTTGATTTGATCCTGTCGAGAAAAGCCGAAACCCAACGCCTTCAGCTCAACGAAGACATTTCGTGCTGTCCAACGCACGTGCGAGCTTGTCCAGAGTGTCCAACTCGCTTTCCGGAATGTTGTAAATTCCCGCGCCACTCGAATGATCACGAAAGTAACAACGTAAGCTCAGTACAATAGCAGCATGAGAGTGCGTGTGGGCAGCGGCAGCGATGGACAGACGACCAACGTTCCCATTTGCAGAATGATGTGCACTTCAAAATACCCGTAATATGCCCGGCTCATCAGATGATCTTGCGGGAACAAAGGAGTAGCCAACCAGGTTGCACAACCCTGCACCCAAGGTTTGCCCCAGACACGTTATTGCTCGAGGTCGTCATTTTTGATTTTGCCAGCGATGCTTCAAAGCAACAAGAAGGCTACCGAGTACAAGACCTTTGAGCCAGCGCCGGTGCCTCGCGCCCACCCTCAGGACGACGCCAACATCGTCTCGCGCCTGGCGTTCGCCTGGACCGAGCCACTGCTTCGGCTCGGGAACGCGCGCCAGCTCGCGTCCAGCGACCTCTGGAAGCTTCAGGACTCTATCAAGGTCGAACCGCTCACGGCGCATTTTGAAAACGTCTACGCGCGCAAGAACAAGGGTCTTCTCTCGTCCTTCTTTGCGATCTACTGGGGCCGCTTCGCATGCATCGGCTTCATGGAGCTCTTCACGGTGCTCGCCGACTTGTACGGACCCGGCTACGTCCTCGGCGAGATCATTCGCGCTGTCGAAGCGCCCGTTCTTGACACAACGTATGTCCTCCAGCTCATCGGGTCGCTCTACCTCGTGCAAGTGACAGCCGCGTTCATCAAGGGCCACATGACGTACCTCAACGGCGTCATTGGCATCCAGTTCTCGTCGGTGCTGCGCTCGATGCTCTTCAAGAAGGCTTTGCGCTTGGACGCATCTTCCAAGAAGGAGAAGACGGCGGGCGACATCGCCAACCTCTTCTCGATCGACACCATCAACGTCATGAGCTTTGCGACAAGCATCCACTCGATGTGGATCGTGCCGCTTCAAATTGGAATTGTATTGCATCTTCTCTACACGATCGTGGGCTGGGCCATCTTTGTCGGTCTCGGGGCCGTCGTTCTCATTTTGGTTGTGAACGGCGTCGTCGCCGGTCTTATGGGCGCCGAGCAAGAACGCTGCTTCAAGCTCAAGGACGACCGCATGAAGGTCGTCAACGAGGTCTTTGGTGCGATCCAGATCATCAAGTTCAACGCGTGGGAAGAGAAGTTCCTCGCCAAGATCCGCAACCTTCGCCTCATCGAGTTTCAATCGACCAAGAAGCTCATGCACATCATCGTCGTTCTCCTCTCGTTCATGAACTGTACGCCGATCCTCGTCACCGTCGTCGTCTTTGCAACGTTTACGCTCTGGATGCAGCAAGCATTGACCGTCACGATCGTCTTTTCGACGCTGGCGCTCTTCAAGTCGCTCCAAGACGCCCTTGTGAACCTCCCGATGGTGATGTCCTCCATGGTGCAGTCGCTTGTCTCGGCCAAGCGCATCAACGACGTGCTCTTGATGGACGAAGTGGACCCGGCCAACGTCTCGACGCCGTCCGACCCGATCGCCGCCGTCTACGCCAAGGACCAGGTCGTCCTCGCCATCGACAATGCCTCGTTCACGTGGGACACGACCGCGACGCCGACGTTCACCAACGTCAACCTCCGCGTCACGCGCGGCGAGCTCGTCGTGTTGCATGGCGCGGTCGGCCCAAGGCAAGTCGTCGCTCTGCTCGGCGCTCC